TCGCACCCGCGCGGTTCTCCTCCACCGCCCACCGCGACGGGGAAGGCGACGGCCAGGAAAGCAGACTCCAGCTCTGACGACACCAGGTCCCCACCCGGCCCGCGCTCACTCACCCGGGATGGCGGGAGGCCTCATGGCGTGTGACTGCGGCTGTGCCCCGCGCTGGGCTCTGGTCCCCGAGAGCCCATCTGTGCCCAGCCGAGAGGGCCCCGCTCCGCTGCTGTCTGCTCGTCCACGGCGGCACCGTCCTCTCCCCGGGCTGAGAGGTCCCGGTGTCCTCCCGGTTCCCGAGGGCCAGCCCCGGTCGTGTCCCGCAGGGCCGCTGCTAGCAGGGACCACACCTGTCTCTCCCTACTGCCCCTCGCTCTGCCTCCCGCCCTGGGAGCGAAGGAGGAGGTGGGGACAGACGCAGCACAGAGAGGGCGCCGTTCCCGATCCTGCCCCGCCAGACCGCGCGCCCCTCGCTGCACACGCTCCACCCCGCAAGCCACGAGGGCTCGCGGGCGGGCCTCTTAAACAGCGGGGTTACCGCCAGCCCTGAGGCGTGGGGCAGCAGGTGGCCGGCATCAAGCCCTGCCGGTGCTGGTCACACCTGTGCCCCCTCAACCGTGAGGACAGGCGGATCTGAGCGCGATCCCGGCTCTGGGAGCTTCCCAGTCTCGTGACCCTGGAGAGGTTCCGTGACCTCTCTGAGCCTCGACTTTCCCCATCTGCAAAATGGGGATAAATATTATTCCCTCCAGGCTACAAAGGAGGGACACGGCAAAGGGACGAGAGCGTGGGAGGGGGGGCAGCTGTCACAAGTCACCCAGCTTCCCCTCCTGTACAATGACAATGATGATATCCACCTGGGGTCGCTGGGAGGATCTGTGTTTGCAGAACACCTGGGGGCGGTGCCGGGCACGCGGTAAGCACGGCGTGTTGTCAAATGTGAACACGCACAGAGGAGCCCGCGACGGCTCTGGATACGGCACTGTCCTTGTGACTGCAGGGCCGCTGTCTTCCGAGGAAGCAGCAGTAATGGGCACCTACTGCATGCAGAGTCTCTGGCTGCAGCTCTGGGCTGGGCCCTGACGATTTGGATTTCAGACGCCTGCAGCTGCGAACCGCTCCTGTCGGGCAAGGAGCCGCTCCTGAGACCCCCGACCACGGCTGCTAACCCCACCCAGGGGCGCGGGGCCTCCCAGGTGCTTCTTGTTTCAGGACCAGCCGCCTTTTCCTGCCACAGTATTTTTTTGGGGACCGACAGTCTTGCCACTGCAGGACTTGGTATACTTTAAATCGGTGAATTACATGGTCTGTTTAATTATGTGTCAAAACAGCTGTATTTTTAAAAAGCCCCGGGTCCGTGGAGCCCCTTCTCGCTCTGCAGTCGGGGAAGGTGTGGGCCGTCCACCTGGGAGGGCAGCTCCGACCCCCGTCCCCTGTCCGGCCCAGCCGCGGGGACACCCCAAGACTTCCTGGAACCAAGACTGTGTCTGATAACCACGCTCCCAGTGCCTGTTTTTTTTTTAATTTTTAAATTTTTTGTTTTATTTTACTTTGTTTTTAAGGCTAGTCAGGTGAAGCAGTGGGCGTGGAGAAGGAACAAAGGAATCTGTCACCATTGTGACCGATTAGTTGTCAACACCACTGCACTGGGACCAGCCCCAGCGCCAAGCTGTGCCCCTCAACCCCAAACCTCCACAGAACACCCCGAGATCCACCAGAGGTGCGTGTGATGGGGCGGGCAGGACCCGGCGCAGGACTCGGAGGTGGAGCCTCCGATTCAGACGTGAGGTTCGCTCCGGTGGGGAAGGGGGTGTCGTCGATGGACGTGGGGGGTGGTAAGAAAGAAGGTACGTCCGTATTTTTTCACTAACCCCTACCTGAAACTTAACACCTTCTTAAACTGGACCATGCCTCAGACCACAGTGGTTTTGGCCGCATCTGTGACTTCATCACCCAGAGAAACAGCACGTCCCGTTACCATGGGTGCAAACACCTGGGGACAGTGTCACACCAGGGCCTGCCCTGGTCAGGGAACCCAGACGAAGCTTGCACCCCCCCTGCGGACGTCAGTGGGGCCAGCCAGGGTGGACAGGCCAAGGCCGGAGGTGCCCGCCCCCGAGCCTGCCCCCGCAGCCCTCCACGGCCCTGGCTCCGGGCATCTGCCGTCCCAGGACACCCAGGCCAGGAGGGTGCTGGGGGCCCTGCAGGGGGCGGGACAGAGCGGCTGTGAGGAGGAGACCAGGGGGAGGAGGTCAGCCTCGCTGCAGCCCTGGCCGGGCAGTGTCCGAGTGGCCAGCGGGGACCCCTCCTCCTACACCCCCCTTGCTGACTCGGCATCGGCAGGGGCTGGGACTGGGAGGGGCCTCGATGACCCTGCGCATCCCCCCGCCCACCGCCAGCCTCTGCCAGGCCCCCACCAGGCCCCTGAGGGACCCGGGGTACCCCGGCCATCCTGGAGAAGGGGGTCCCCCAGCCAGACACGGGGACCCCTTCAAGGCCTGAAGCACTGACAGCCCTGGGAGGGCCACTGGCCGCGGCTGTGCTGGGCTCCTCCAGGTGCTGTCTGACGGCTACAGCCCTGCACCCCTCTGGGACTCCCCAACTCCTGCGAACCCCCAAGTCCTCTGTCAGGTCCCAGCCCTCGGGACCCCCCCAGCCCGAATCTGGCCAGGCCCCACCCTGCCATCCCGTCACATGGGCAGGAGGGGCCCCGGCGCCTGGTGGTCGCGGAGAGCCAGGAACACGGCTGGAGACCTCGCCCAAAGGTCAGGGGCGTCCACTCCCGCCCTGTCCCCGTTAACGGAGGCACAGGCGCCACCTGCGCAGCTGACCTCACACCCAAGCCCAGGAGGAGAGAAGGAAACAGCTGGGCTTTCTGGAAACTTCCCCGCAGCTGCCACCCGAGAGTCCATGAGGCATCGGGTCGCGCAGGAAACGCTGCGCCGGGCAGAAGGCAGGTGCGGAGAGGTGGCCGGGCGTGCGCCCTGAGGCGTCCCCCCGCCCAGAGGAAACCCCGATCTTTGCTGTTTCTGCTGCATGTCCCAGGGACAACAGCCGGCTTACCCCGGACGGGGCCCTGCAGCGTGGACACAGCCGCTCGGGCGCGCGCCCTGCTCAGGGCCTGGAGCCCCCACTGCTGAGCCAGGACCCAGCGCCCAGGGGAATAAGTACGCGGCGATGTCAAGGTTGCCCAAGTGGTACCCTTTGTGATACTTCTCACATTCTGAAGTTTCTACAACGAATGTTTACTTTTATAAACAAACAAAAAAATCTAAGTGACTGTGATCAGTTAGCCTCGAAAGAAATACAGAATATTAGAACTGGGAAGGACTTGAAGAACTAATGAGCTCAACCTTTCGTTCTAACGACGAAGCCAAACCTGGGACAGGTACGTGACCTGCCCGCAGCGCGCACCTGGGAGCAGAGCACACAGGGAAGCCCGCGCTTCTGGGCGTCCGGTGCTCATTCCTGCCGAGTTCAAGGTGAGTTTCTAGAAACGGTGCAGCCACAGGTCCTGCACACGTCTCCTCCCCACGCACGGGCAAGACCACACGGCCACTTGGGAAGACGCGGGGTGGGACCCGTGAGTTCCGACAGCTTGCGTAGGGCACCTTCTCACGCCTTCGGGGCTTCGTTTCCACATGGCCCCGTCACCCCTGTCACCGTGGGATGATACGATCCTGGCACTAACGAGACTCGAACCTTGGGAGCAAAACGCTGGGTCACTGAGCACGTGTCTCACTTCCGGCGCTCTCCGCGGCGGCCTGGAGCACCGATCCTCACAGGCCTGCCAGGCTAGGCCGGGACAGTTAAAAGCACGCAGGCTGATACATTCGCAGTGTTCATCTTTCAGACACTTGGCCTTTAGTCTTATTTTCCACAAATATAAAAATGAGGAACTATTTCAGCATATCTGCATGTCAATATACCTGGATTATTCTGGCTGCAAGTGACAGAAAACCCAAGCACCCTGGCTTGCCCAGGAGGGATCGTTTATCGACTTGTGTAACCCCACAGTCTGAGGGCGGATCTTGCATCAGGCACGGCTGGATTCAGGAGCTCGAATGGTGGGATCAGGATCAGTTTCTCTATCCCTTGGCTCCAATGGGTCCATGTGCACAGAAGACACAGCTGTGACTGAGTTGCTCCCCATCGGCCAGGAGCTGTTCTAGCTGTTCTCCTGCAGCTGCCAGCCTCATGGTGGCAAGGGGACGATCAAAAAGCAAATAAAAAACAAACAAGAATCTTTCAAATATAAGATAGAAAAAAACGAACAAACAGGGTGAGGTGGTGAGTGTAACCAGCTGCCACTTGGCTGTGAGCTGAGCACCTCGTGACGCATGAACCAGCTGCATAGGAGGGGCGGGCCACCAGGCCCAGGGGAGAGCCCAGGGGCTGGGGGCCAGCTTGTGGCACCGTAGACAGTTCTACCCCCTCATTTTATGCATGACACCTTGGCAAAGAAGTCTGCATTTAATAAGCACATCTGTCTGAGGACAGAGTTTCTTTCTGAAGTCTCCACAATGTTTTCACTGTAAGACCAACAAGAAATGCCCTTTCCAAGAGAAGACAGAGAGTCCTGAGAACATTCTCTTTAAAGTGCATGCAGGGCCTGCCCTGTTGGGGCACGATAACGTGCTTAAAATACACTCAGTGAAACCCTCTGGCTAAAAAATAGAAATTTCCAACACATATACATTAGAAAAATGTAAAACCTCCACTTAAATGCTTGTTTTGACTTCTTGCCCAGGACCGACTGCAAAAGCACTTCTGTTGAGAAAGGGCGGTTCAGCCAAAACCCAGCTGGCTTCTAGAAACAGAGCACTGGAGGGAAAGCCCGAACACAGGCGGCGCCGCGCAGATGTGAGCATGTGCGCATTTGCACACAATGTGGGCTGGGCTGCAACTCATTCCAGACCCAGTCTCCCACGACAAAGCCTCCGCCCGGCCAGAGCTGGTGCTCGCGCCGGGGGTGGGGCGGTGGGGGGGGCTGGGGAGGTGCCCAGGGCAGCGGGAAGGCCTCGTGGGTGTCCACCGAGTAACACTGAGACTGGGCTGTGATGAGCACCTTGTACCCAGGGACTGCATGACTTGGGCTTTCGCGCTTTGGAGCGTGGCTCTCCGCTCCAGCCAGCCAAGGGTCCCGCGCCCTGCGGCGGTCACTGCCAGGGCTTCTCTTGGGCAGGATCCCTCATCCGTCTTCTCCTCTTAGCCCCCTCCTCCCAGATCCGAAATCCCCGTCACCCGCCTACTGCCACTTGCTCACTGCTCACTCAGCCCCCGAGCCCTCTGGACTCTCTGTCCCTCCAGAGAACAGACAGGCTCACGGACCGGGACAGACCAGAACCTGACTCAGCCGGGGTGTGCAGCCTCCCGAGTGTCCCAGCATAGACGTGGCCACTGCGCCCGCTCGCGGAGCCTGCGCTGTGACTTCCTGGGAAGGACTGAGACTGAGCAGCTCACACAGCACCAGCCCTGCCACGTCCGGCCACGTCCACAGGACCCAGAGCAACAGGCTGTCCCACGTCACATGGTGGGTGATGGTGAGGGTGTCTGTGCAGCGCGGCCCTGCACCCCCAGCCACCCGCCAGGTCACTTGTCCCTCTGCTGCCTGGCCAGTGCCACCCTCAAGGTGCCGGGGCCCAGGCGCAGGCCCTGCAAGCAGGCGAGGGCCCGCTGAGCCGAGGCCGGGTCCTGGTAATGGAGGAAGGCCCTGCGCCGCGGCCCCTGCCAGGTGAGCCGCAGGGGGGCCGCGCCGAGCTCCCGCAGCACCCTCTTCAGGTCACTCACGCGGGCGTCCCGGGGGAGGTTCCCAACGTAGACGTCGGCTGCAAATGGGGCTCCTTCCCCCTGCAGGGAGCCACGGGCTGCTCCCACAGAATCTTCTTCTAGCCCAGGCACGTTCTGGGGTCTTGTGACAGTGCCTGGAGGAGCCTTCTGGTGGCTGCTGGGGTCCCCGGGCTCACCCTGAAGGGCGACGTCCTTCCCAGCCTGCCTCTCTTGCTCGCGGAGCCGCCTCAGTACCGGGATTTTCTCCATCATCTCACGGCTGATCTGAAAGGCAAAGCGGTTCCGGCTGTTCTCAGGGTGCCCAAAGGGACAGAGTCATGCCAGGGGCATCTGCCACCCACACCCACACGAACCTCTGGACTATCTGCCAGGCTGCACAAACGGGGAAGTGGGACTCCCACCGTCTCAAACGGAAGCTGTCGCCAACCTGTAGCGCTGAGCCCCCACCCCAGCCACGCGAGCCCTCCGGATCACCCCCCCACAGCCACGGCAGCTGCTCTGTTTTCCGGAGGCCCAGGGAGGGGAAAAGCAAAGCCGGCACTCTTAGGCAAGGCCTCCTACCCAGAGAAGAAGATACGTCTGAAGACAGCGTAGCACACGACAATTACACATTTTTCTACAAAACCTAACAGTTCAGGCAGTACGGGTGTTCTCATTACATTCAGAATAATGCGAAACTTAGAGCCACGGTTCTTATCCTTGGCAGGGTGACAGGGACCTTGGTGAGGAGCTGGGGTTCCCTCCAAAAATGGCTCACCCACAGTTCTGTGCACCATTTCCCAGGGTCGCTGAAGACTTTTCATGGCTCTCCAAACTACAAGGGGTGCGCAGGCCCCAGGTTAAGAATCAGGAAATGGGAGTGATATTTAAAGAAACACAAACACCCAAGAACAGTCAAGTGCCTTCTTGGAAACCTAAAGGCTCCGACTCCTCTTTAATTTAACGCCCGGTTCTCTGTCTTGGTGCTAAGTAGAAAATGATCTCCACTGCCTGCAAAGCCTTCGCTTTGGGGTCGGAGCCTTGGCAGGTGACGGGCACCTGTTTTGGTCTTGTGATGGCAAACGGACTCTTGGTCGCCACAGAAAGACTCTAGAAGGAAAGACTTGCTCCTTCTCACCCTTCCCAGTGCTGAGACACGAAGGAAAAGCCAATCGCACCCACGCCATGAACAAAACCGCCAGGTGCAGCTACGCTTCTCATCGAAAGGTTTTGCTCCCTGGACCCTCTGCCATTCTGTTGAACTCATCCGCCACATGGCCACTGAACTCACAGACCAGGATCGTATTCTAGAAGCTCTGCTTCCAGCGAGTTCCAAAGGTGATCTAAGTCCAACCAACAAAACTCCTGCCCACACCTTTCCAAAGGTGGAACCCCCATTCTACCTCCGCAAAGAGTTCAGGTTTTCGTTTGATTTTGGAATACTGAAAAGCAGATGTAAACCGGTCATAACTCGATTTTCAAGGACTTCTTAAGTTACTGGCTGATGAAGTTTAAAACTGTCATCACAGTGAGTACGGCTGTGCGTTCACCTGAAAGCCCAAGAGTTCCTCGGCTCCGAGCGCAACGGCAGGAGCTGCAGGCCAGAGCACCTCTTGTGGGGGCGCCTCCTGGTGACACCGCGGCTCTGGTGGGGCCCACTCCGGAGCTGCCGCGGCCCAGTTTCACGTCCTCGCGTTACCGTGACTGCCACCTGTGTTTGTGCAGTGGTGCCTCGAGGTTGCCTGGAGCAGAAGCGAGTGTTCCCGAGCTCCACACTCAGCTTCTGCAGCAGGATCCAGTTTTAAAACGTGTGAAAGAAAAACGTATCCCCTGTGCTCGCCAAGGGAGCTGCTTTATCGTGAGTCGCGCACACACAAACTATAACCACCTGCGGGACACTGAGAACGTTTTAACCACACACCACGAACTGACGGGAAACCCACAGCACTGGCACTGGCCCGTGCGGGGCGTCTTTAGAATGGAAACGCACAAATGCATTCCTTTCAATAAAATCGCTCCTTTCACGAGCAACGCTTTTGGGTACGGGATGACAAGGCTTCGTCAGCTCACTCCCCCATGAGTCCTGTGTGGAAAACCTCCCTCGTGACAGGCGGCTTTGCCACCGCGCCAGAGGCTGGCGGTTTCTGTAGTCGCGGAACGATCTGGGCAGATCCGAGCCACGGCTGACAGAACGCCTCCTGTGCGCAGGCGGGCTGGCGGGGCAGCTCACGGCCAGTGCAGATTTCGCTGTTAGCATTTTGGTTTCTGAATTCTCATCTCTGCCGCCCCAGAGCATGCTGGGAACAGAGACTGCCTACTGCCGTGCTGTGTGACCGGATTCCAACACACGACGCAGAATGTCTACCACGGAAAATGTTTATCACGTTTACTGTTTTATCCACTGAATACTGTTGATCATAAAAGTAATATACGCTTTCATAAAACATTGGGGGGAGTAGAAAATAAATCTGAAGTCCCACCTTCCAGAGATAACTGCTGTTAATACACTGATACGTTCCCTCAGTCTTTTCTCTGCCCTTTGACACAATGAGAATACCAAATTACATATCAAGCTTATATAATTTTACGTTGTGCTTTTCCTACTTGACACCATGAGCGTTTTCTCACACTGTTAAATATTTTTTAAAAGGCTGTCTGCACTTAAATTGTTGACTTTTCCCCCTTATTTTAAGACACTACATTACACATACAAATCCTTACCTGAATGTGTAAATATTTCCCTAGGACTGATTGCTGGAAGGTAAATTACTGGGTCAAATACAATAATTCCTTTAAAACAAAAGCAGCTACTAGTGCCTTAGACCTATCGCCCAGTGTAGCAGGTGCCAGTTCACAGTCAGCGACGTGTTTCCAGAGAACACGTTTTATACAGGATCCGAAACTGCGCTTCGACGTCCTAGGACTGCTGCTCACAGAGGACGCTGCTCCCCACTCCTCTCCCCTGAGGCGCGTGTAAACGAACACAGCGTGTGACGGCCAGTGGGAGGGAGAACTGAAAACACAGGATGCAAACGTGAGAAATGGCCTTTCAAAAGTTTGAGATTCTCGCCAAGGCCCCACGAGCAATGACCACTTCCTGGACAAGGGTCTCCCCAAGCCGGGAGGCCCCGAGGCCCGGCACCCACCGGAGTAGCTGGCCCCATCCTAGGGGACTTTGGCTGAATTTGGTTTTCTTTTACGTAAGAAGCATTATGTTCATCCAGCATGTCTGATGACCCCATTTGTTACTACTTTTGCATTTGTCTTGTTAAAATCTGTTGACTGTAACCATGGCTGTCCCAATCTCTCTCTCTCCTTCTAGAGAGGCCACCCGGAATCTTTCTAATACGGCTGCCCTGGGCCGTCCTCTCCGAAGTGCTGGCCACGAGGGACTGCCGGCAACCTCGCTGCAGCCAAGCCCTTGTGAAACCTCCCCTACGCCCGTGCTCAGCTCCACGGGGACGCCGGTCTCGCTGCGGGCTAGCGTGCTGGCTTCCACGTATCGGGAAGCCGTAGACCCGAGTTCTGGGGTGAACCCAAGCTCTTAAGGAAGACAGCAAGGGACATTTCAATTTTCAGGAAGGACGGTGACCACTTCTCCCCAGCGCTCCTGGTGCAACTGGAAGGGCTGCCCATCCACTTCCGGGTCACGAGTGCTGTTCCTCTCTGCTTTTGTCAGGGCCGACCTACGAGGAGACCCCAACACTGCCCCCCTGGGGTGCCTGCGGGGAGAGGCCCCGGTGGGCCAGGTAAAAGCACCAGCTGCTTTATTTGGGTTCCTCCTTAAGGTGGATGCTGTTGATTACCCGTGCCCCAAGGAAGGCATTTCGGACTCTGAATGCCCTGGTTTAAAGAGCGGGAGACGCGCGGCAAATGTGCCTATTCCACGGGAAGCACAGTCGCTCCATGTTGTCTCAGTAGTTCTGGCTGCTGCCAGCAGAGACACCAGCGTACCCTACAGGTTGGCTTGTGGGGTCAAGCTCCTGTCGCAGACTAATTTGCAAGACGTGCCATTACCTCGTCTGGAGGTAAAAATCGCAAAGGCACAACCTTAGGAGGGCTTTGACGCCGCCTTGTACTCAGGTTAGCTCTGCCGGGGATGCAGGTGTGCAGTAAGAAAATCTGGATTTATAAAAGGGAAGACTGAAGAGAGAGGGCCGCACAGACCATGCCATAAGCGGGCGACAGAAAACTCGTAGAAATGAAAGGCAGCCGGCAGCTGGAGCCGTGCGGCGGCAGCCTCGTCAGCGTGGTCCCTGCTGTCCCCTGTGAAGCAGACCTCGAGCCAGCTGCTGTCGGAATCGCAGAGGGTTGTAAGGAGATTCCCGGGGCAGGGCCTGGAGATCGCGATTTAGGAGCAAAACTGTTCAAAAGCTCCACGGGCGACTCCAACATGCAGCCACACCAGGACTGAGCAGCTGCCATGGCAGACAGAACGCACTAGAAAAGGGGAGGGGCCTCTAAGCTACAGGCCAGAGCTGGCCGAGGCAATGACCCACCTTGGACCAGGTGATCCCCGTTGGCTTTGGGCGCTCACAGCCCGTGGCGATGACTCTGGTTGGAGTGAGGATGTAGTCGACGGTGAGGTCGTGACCCTCAAGGAGTGCTTCAGGGACGTCCACCACCTGGTCCAACACAAGGGCGTAGAGCGGCTGCCGGGACACGGCGCCACTGCTCTGCTCCGCGGGAACCGCGAGGCTGTTGGGAGCAGCACCCCCAAATCCACACTGGGGCTGAGGCTCAGCTGCCGCACCACTAGCAGGTCCCACCCCAGCCCATCAACATGACTCACGACACACTCACGACCCAGCACGGTGCCAGCGCAGATGACCGAGTCTCTCCCCTCACCCTGTGCCCTTGCGGAGCCTGGCAGTGGCCCCGCTCAGCCCGTCCACAGCAAGCACCTGGCAGTCGTGGACGATGGTGATCACCGGCGTCGCCTCGCTGACAGCTCCCATGGACACCATCATGGCATATTCGAGGTCGGCGTAACCTTCTCCCTTCCCGATTCTCCAGCCTAAGAGACGAGGGCGGGATCAGGACCTCCGTGGGCATCGCTGTGGAGTGCACTTTGCATGAGGCCACGGTGGAAGGAAAGACTCAAACCCAATATCCCTGGCTTGTCCGCAGAGATCCCCAGAGGAGCCCACAAGCAGTCGGCCACAAATGCGCTGTCAGGCGTTAGACGGGAACAGCAGCATGAAAGTGTACAGAACTTAAAACAATGACGTCAACACTGAACCTCTAAACAGGTCATAAAGGGAAGCTGAAGTCGCATTTATGCAAGCTTTATGTTAGCAAGACTCACATTTAACAGTAACGAAAGAGCAGTGTTTAAAAAGACTAAGAACAAATTCTTACTAAAAGCTAAATATTTTTAATCTATTGACCTTAGAGGGAAAACAAAAACTCTTAAGTCAGGGATACATGAAGACACAGCCCTGTCACTTAAAAAGGACTGAATAGTCACCCAGTTTATCCCCCCAGTTCCGAGGGAGGGGCCGTGTGGGCAGTACTGACGCCATTTCTAAATCCATACACAAAAGCAGAACGAACGGGTTACCTGAACCCGAAGGGAAGCTAAGATCAAGCCTGGGTTGGCGGCCTCTCGCACCAGCCCACCGTGCAGAAGACGGTGAAGAGCGGAGAGCCTTCCAGCTCCGGCAGGAACCGCGATTCCGCCCGGCAGGAAGCTCAAGGCGCTCAGACTCTGGCTTCCGCGCCACATCAGCACCACTGCCGGGGACACCCACGTCACTGCACTTTTCTGAGGTGCAGATCTGACTCTGTGACTCTGACAATTAAAAAGCTTCAACTGTGCACGCAAAGAAAGGACAGAGAGGCCGTTCAACGGGAAATAGCAAAGGATGTGGGCAGTTCACGGGAAACGACAGGCAGGTGTCAGTGAACATGTGAGAGATGCTCCCCTTCACTCCTAATGCAAGCCCAGAGGCAAACCTGGCTCACTGTCCGCCTCCTGGAACACAGGCAGTGTGACAACTCCAGCCGCGGTCAGCCAGCAGGGACAGAGGCGGGGCACTCGCTGTTGGGGACCGCAAGTGAGCAGCTGCCCTGGTGGGCAGTTTGGCAACATCCACCGAGGTCTGAAGTCCACCCTTCAGTGTGGCAGTCCCCTCCTGGGGATCTTGCCGTGGGCAGCTCAAAGCTACGGCCGGGCTATCCGACAGAACGTCCCTCACTCTAGCGCCATCCGTAAGGGAAAGACCAAACCGAACTTAAATAACCAGCAACGTGTGCACCCGGCAGTCAGGGCCGGGTACATTATCGTGGCACATCCACGCGGGACACCGTGCAGCTGCTCGGTGGGAGGTGAGCAGGGCAGCCCGTCTGCACCAACAGGCAGAAACCTTTGACACCGGTCACCAAAAAGGCACACAGCTCCGTGCGTGCTCTCACCGCTTCTGTGAAAGCAGGTAAAGGGCGTGTACAGAATCCGTACCCACAACACAGACGACAGCAGCATCTCACACGCGTGCTGGCACGCACGTGAGTCCACGCCAGGGACTCCCAACAGCGGGCACCTGGGGAAGGGACCGGGAGAACACACGGTGGACCTCTCTGTGCTACTCGACCTTCCACTCAGGCGCACAGCTAATGGCTGCTTTACTATTGGCACGGGGGCAAATGACAACGTTTAAAAATGAATGATGACACTTAAAAACAGCTTGCTTCTTTATACCTTCCTGAACTAAAAAGGAAAACTCCTGACGCTCCTTTTCAAGAGGAGACCTTTGTAAATATCCCACAGCCAAAAGACCAGCCCGAATCCCATCGCCTGGCCTCAAGGCCTCTGAGGAGCCAGCCCCAACCTGCCCGAGGTCCAGGCTACGTGGACACACTGTCCCTTCTGCCCTCGAGCCCTTCGGCGCCACCTGCCTCGACAATGCCCCGTGTACGAGAGCCGGCCCTGGGGCCGCTTCTGAAGCGACACCCTGCTCCAGGCTGGCGGGGCTCCTGGGTCTCTCCGCTGACCCCCACTCCTGCCGGTCCCGACTCGTCTCCAGCACCGAGCACAGTCCAGCTCCCGTGCGCATCCCGCCCACGCGCTGTGGCGCACAGGAACGTGGGCTCGTGGGTACCGACCATGAAGGCACGGCTAAAGCACCTGACACTGCGAACACACTAAGAGCAGAGAATGAAGAATGACGACATCCCACTCAGAGTGACTGCTGGGAAGAGAGCGCAGGCTGCAGGTGGAGACAAGAGTGGGTGGCGTGGGGACCCTGCCTTCTCCACAAGGGCCCCCTGGCCGTGTGGCCTGAGAGCGGTCTGTGTCACCTGCTGTGGGCAAAGCTCCAGGCAGAGGAAGTCCGAGGGCCACGCCGTGTTGTCTAGGAGGCTGCCGCTGCATGACAAACACAGCTTAGAACCTGACACTTTTCCATTTGCTGGAGTCCCTCCAAGACCAACTATTTACTGACACACTGCAAATAAATTCAGCTCCAATTCCAGTTAACTTAAAAACAGAGAGAAAATCTGTCACCGCCTGAAAAGACAGTTACCTCACTTGATTTTTCCTGCAAAGAAAAGTAAAAATGCTGTAAAGGTGTCGAGCTGGGGCCAGGCAGGGAGGGACGAGTCGATTCTTCGACATGAACGAGAAATGCAGTGGCCTCGGAGATGCGGCCCGTGTCCAGAAAGCAGAAGCTCCCAACTTCCAGCAGACACACAGAGAACTGTGAAGCAGCAAGCTCCAGGAGCAGCGGTCACGTCGAGGAGTTCCTGTCTTGTGATCTCACCTTTCTCGGAGACGGCGACGGATCCCACCACAACTAAATCCACGAGGACTCTGGAGTCCAAGCCCACGGGTGTGCTGTAGTTCCTCACGCCCTGCGCATTTAGCACATGGGACGCGATCAGTAAACGCCGTATGACATACTTATTCAACACAAAATACTGAAGGCCATCATCTTTATGTACGGAACACTTCTAAAACGTTACTTACTCCACCAAAACGTTCCCACAGCACACCCATCTGCACTACCTGACGGAGGCTGCACTTAAAGAACAGGGGAGCTGAGGATGTTCACGATTCCATGATTCTCACAACACGCCTTACAAGTGACTCTAGGGAAAAGTCACGTGGTCCCACGGCCAACAGCAGCTGAGCATTCCACGTGGCATTAGGCCCGGTCTGCTGCCAGTACACAGACAGGACACGCCCCTTACGGGGTCAGTGTATGCGGTTATTTGGGGGTCGCCCAACAGTCACAGTGCAGGGGTTGGTCCGTGGCCCTCCCCAGGGGGAGAGCCTGGGTTTTCTCCACACCACAGTGGCCCTGGGGCCAGGCAGCCACCAACCGCAGAGGAGCACGTGGTCTGCATTCATGAACTTTGACCATAACCACGGTTTCATCTTATTTTTCTAGCTTTATTTTTCCTTTGCTCCTTTATCTACATATATTTTATTTTTTTACTTTATCGTATATATTTTTGTAAGCCGCACCAAATTCTATTTTTGGGATAAGACAGGGTGTCAACAAATAAACAATAAAACATTCAATTTTTATACATTAGGCTTAAGTGGCAAATCCCTTAAAAAAGAATATCTTAAATTGTCTTATTTTTTATCCTCGGGAGATTAGAAATCAAATGACTTGGAGTTTACTTTAGGATTCTTTAAAAAAGTCATCAAATTCTATTTCTTTAGCTGTAAAATACAAGACAAATTTTATTATAATGCACCCAAATATAATATTTACACACTTTGATTTTACTAGATTGTGAGGAATTCAAAAAAACCTTATATGTACAACTGTCGGCAATTATTTATTTAGAACTGGTGAGGCGATGTCCATGTGAATATATTTTTGAAATTCCATCCCGTCTGTCCAGCTGCTCTGGGGGCGTGTGACGGACAGGCTGGGAATAAGAAAAAGCCACACGGTAGCCAAGGATGTCACAGGTTAATACCCGAGGGTACCAGAGTACCAGACAACTTGCTCTACCTTTTCTTATACAAAGGAATTTATAACTTCCTAACTTGGTGCAAAATAGAAATTCAGTTACAGAAATGGATTCGCAGCTTTCTTACTTGGCTCCCTTAACGACAAAACTGCCGAACAATTTAATGACATCTCTGCTCACTTGGCTCCACTGAAAATAAATTTCACGATGCTATTTTCCGCTATTCTGACTCATCAGAAGTCTCAGCAGAGAACAGTTCTTTCCTTGGTAAATGACGCTTACCTGAGAGGTGGCACATTTTCTCAGGATGTCTTTAGTTGCCCCGGGGGGTGGTGTGATCTTATTAAACAACCCCGTTCTCAGTCGTGGTGTTGGAACCAACAACGTTTTCTTACTCTAAAGAAAAGAAAGTCAATAAATTACAAAATTAAATGTTACATAGGACTTTCTTATATATGTTTTTACCATTTCAGGAAGGGAAGCGAGTTACTACTATCTGCATTTTTTCTGGTGCAGGCAGTAGTGTGCCAAGGAAATTACTTGTTTGCAAACCTAATCAAATAATATGTGGGGGTCAATTTCACTTAAAATTACTACTTTGCATTGCCTTACTACAAAGAGGCGGGTGTTTATTAAACTTGCTAATTCTCCTTTATTTGCCATTCAAAATTATTACAGGCAAAAATCAATAATGCGGCCCAATTTGGGCTGAGGAATGTGGATTTTTACCTGCTTCCCAGGGATTCTTAAACCCATTAAAGTTTCCAAAAACCACCGAGACCTGTAAGTGCCGGAGCACGGGGACCACATGTGTGCCGGTGTCTTTCTCATCACTACATCCTGGCCCAGCACAGAGCCTGCGACCTGGCAGATTCTCTATAGCTCGGTTTTTATCTAAGCCCATCAGTGAAGGGATGGAGAAGGGAGGAGCTCAGACACCCGCCGTGTTGCTGGCCGCACGCCTCTCCCAGGCCGCCCTGGCTAACTCTCTTCTCCGCACCGCGAAGGCTTTTGATTTTGAGCTCTGAGGGGCCGACAGGTGAACCTCACACACGCGAAGACTGGCTCTGGGGCCAGAACGCTGGGCCAGAATTCTGGCTCTACCACGACTGATGTGACTTGCTACTTCACCTCTGTGTGCCCGGTTTCTTCAACTGTCACATGGGAACAGAGATGGCTCCTAGGACTACTGAGAATTAAACAGCACAGCGAAAACGTTCAGACGGGCCTGTCTCACACGCAGCGACGCTTTCCTTCACTGCTGCTATGATGACTGTAACTTCCAGTTCATCAAAGTGACTCACTGACGGGAAACCTAAGGCTTACGAGAAGCTGCCCTTCTGCGAAAGCCTGCACAGAGGTCTCTGTTGGGGCTGAACTGCCATCAGCAGACAGAGTGATCTCCTGTGGGAGCTGATGGGAGAACCAGAGCAGTTCCCTACAGTGCTCCTGTCCCTGTAAAAGCACTTTCTGGCATTCACTTTACCATGCAGTGTGGCAGGCGCCCTGTCTAATGGAGGCTTCTCAGGAGCTTGACCTGACAACAGCAGTGGGAGAACCGAGCCACCCACAGCTCGTGTCAGCAGGAGGCAGAATCCCAAAGATCTTGTAGTGGGACCCTCAGGACCAGGTTCACATTAGCAGCAGCAATTTGTTTCAGGAAAACACCACCAACTGTTACATCAAACTAATGGGGTCATTCGAATGTTATTGCTTTTATAGCTTTGTTTATATTTAATTTATATGCTGATTTTTTTTTGAGATGGGGTCTTGCTCTGTTGCCCAGGTTGGAGTGCAGTGGTGTGATCACAGCTCACTATAGCCTCCAACTTCTGGGATCAAGCGATCCTCCCGCCTCAGCCTCCTGAGTAGCTGAGACGACAGGTGCACACCACCACGCCTGGCTAATTTTTTAAAAAATTGTTTGTAGAGACAGGGTCTCATTATGTTGCCCAGGCTGATCTCAAACCCTTGAGCTCAAGCAATCCTCCCACCTTGGCCTCCCAAAGTGTTGGGGTAACAGGTGAGAGCTACCAGGCCTGGCCTACTTTGGTTTTACAGTTGTATAAAAGCTCTGAGTATTAAAATGTATAGCAAATTTTATAGTTATACATATTAGATTATAATAAATTCATTTAAATCAACCCTGAGGAAGCTATTTTTTCCTTGAAAAGGGGCCTATATGGGAAACAGTGTTCTAATTTATATATTTTAGGGACACATTTGTCAGATGTCTTACTCACGATTTATCACATTTTCAAAGACGTATATTACAAATGTAGCAAAACTAATTAAAAATGTTTTAATCTTTCTCTTCTGAATTGAGAATGGCTTAATGCCATCATTTTTTGTTTGTTTGTTTGGGAGGTAAGGAAATCAAAATTTATTATAAAAGCATGTCTGGATTTAAAAAGTTTAACAGTGTTGAGAAAAACATTTCCAGCTCTTTATCACGGTCTTTCTAGCTTTAGAGCACGACATAGTAACAAGTGGCCATTTGTCACCAAGAAGCAAGGATTCCGAGTGCAGTAAACTCTTTGGCACGCTTGTTTCCGATGGCAACGTGGCAGGTCCTCTACTGTAGCTACAACTCCTCGACTCTGGGACACTGCTGGTTCTGCCTGGTTCCTCTCCCTGTGCTGAAGCCTGAGTAACAGGGCTTTGAACATCCTTTATCTCTAAACTTAGAAACATTTGGGACTTCTAACTGAACGCCAAACAACCGGCAGACTCCTGGACTGTGCTTGGAAAAAACACCAAGGGCACATTCCGCACTGGAGGGGGCCGGAAGCGCCGCCTTTCTGCACAAAGGACTGCGTGCATTTACCAGCCACCTGGAGAATGCGTCCCCTCGGTGGCCGGGCCTCGGCTCAGGGAAGTAGGATTACCTGCAGCGCCAGCAACCGAACGCCTTCCAGCGGTTTATCAGGGTCCACTTTAACTTCCTGTGCTCTGGCAAAAACGTCTAGGTCTTCGATGTTTCGGCAAGCCAGATAAGACCCCTAGTCAGGCAAACAGACAGAGTTGCACTTACTTCAAGGACGAAGAAGCGAGCATTTTTCTGGGGAGCATCGGGATTGACTTTAACAGTTCTGGCCGTTTGGAACGCCTGCAAGCGCGGGAGGTGCTCGGCAGCACGAGGGGCGCCCTGTTTGAAATGCAACTGCGTGTTACGGAGAGGACGATTCATGCTTGGGTTGACCGCAGCCTGAGCAGCTTGGCCCGAATGTCACCCGCACAGGAAGGGGCTCTAATTCTAAGACAGCAACTGAGAGCCATCCAAAGAAACATCTAAGGTAGAAAGGGATTTGGGAAAAGGAGACTAGTCCCAGTTTAGTTTTTACTGAAACAAAATCCCACTGGTTCACTTTTAAAGATTTCTCCACGGTTCTGTGCATCCTTCTCATTTCCCCTGTACTTCCTTTCTCTCTCCCTGGGTAACAAGCACTTAAACAAAACACAATAACAACAAAACCAAACCAAAGGAGACTATTTAAAGGGACAGGA